ATCAGATTTGTTTTTCTCTAACTGGCTCTAATTCTGACATTTATAACTGTTTTGTAGAGAAGTCATGTTAGTATATTAACTTTTCTGTTTTTTTATTCTAGATAGTATTCTATTCTATTACACTTGATCTTCTCTATAGATATTGTTATTCTACATGTTGCTTCTTTTTTTGCAAGTACATCTGCTTTGTTATTCTACTTATTATTACTATAACTTTTAACTTTAACTAGTTCTATTTTATTACTCTTACTTTTAACTAAATTTACAATATTTATTATCCATATTGTATTTTTCTTTTTTAGGTCTTTGTCATCTTCTAATCCTTGAATTATTTTATTAATGTTCTTTAATATTGCAAGACTATCTTTATATTCTTTTCTTCTAATACAGTTAGAATTGCTAATCATATTACTGCTAATTCTGCTATTGTTACTAAAGGCCAGCCTTCTTGTCTCTATACTATTTCTTTCTTTAATCAGTTTTTTTATTACTAATCTGTGTCTAACTAATGCTCATCTTTTTTATACTATTTTCTCTTTTTCTTTTATATAATACTTCATCTGTATAAAAGATATACTTATTTTTGTTTCTCATCTTGTTTCTTGTTAGAACTTTTATTAAGTAAGCTGTGATTTTACTATCTAATTTTTATTTTTTAATTAATTCTATTTCTAGTTCTTCTATTTGTTTTAGCTTAATTAGTCTTTTTTTCTCTCTTTTTTATTCTTTTATTGTTCTATTTTCTAGTATTTGTTCTAATATTGTATTAATCTTGTTGCTGCCTTTTTTTATCAGTGTTTCTAGAACTGCTTTTATATTATTGTTCTATCTTATCTACTTTTCACAATTATCTGTTATTTGTTCTGTTCCATTTTCACATTCTTTATATTTGCTTATTTTAGTATATGTCTTTCTTTTTATTTTTCACAACATCTAATATTTAACTAAAATTTTTTTCTTTTTCTTTGCTGAGTTGTTAATTGTGTTTTAGTCTATATATAATCTACTCTTTCTTTCTTTTATCTTCAAATATTTTTGTCCAATTAATTATTAGTGCCTGAGTGTTATAGTTACTAATCTTGTATTGGTTATATATTTCTCTGCTTGTCTATATTATTAATATCTTTCTTTTATTTTATTGAACTATTTGGCTTTTTTCTCTTTACATGACAGTCCTTAGAGACTTTTGAGTTGTCTTTATATGATTAAGCTCTCTCTTTTTATATCTATGAGTTAGTTCAAGTATAGCAAACTCTACTTATTTATTGTACTACTATTTGCTGTTCAAGATTTGGTTCTAACTAAGTTTCTTATTTTTATTTCATGACTATATACTTTTCACAAGTGGTTTTTTGCTCTAATATTTATTCCTATCTTTGTTGTCTTAATTATTATCTGACAAGCTAAGTTGTATTTTCAATACTTTGTTTTTTTTGATCTTCTTTTAGACTTTTAAATATCTTTTATTAAACCTGTTTTCTGATATCTTTGCACTATTCTAAGCTTTGTTAGTTTATCTAAGTATCTTTTCTATTAAGTCTTGTCAATAAACTACTTATTTGCTTTGTTGCTATCTTTTGACTTAATGATTTACAGTTTTCTAAATCTTTGTATTCAATTGTACAGTTGTTTATAGTTTTTATCATGTTGCACTTATGTTTAACTAAACATATTATTGGTTGGTAGATCTTATCAATTATCTTTTCTAATATCTTTATTAATTGCAAAAGATATTCTAATTTTGGAATTATTACTATATTGTTTATGTATATAATTTGGCTTATTATTATTTTTTTATATCTAAGATCTTTGACTATTTGACTAACTATTCCTTTTGCTTTTTTGCAAACTAGTAACTCTCTCATTTTGCTGTTTAGCCAAACTTCTAATAATTTTATAATTTTGTTTTTTGGTTCTTCTGTTATTCTATTCTGTTCAAATATAATTTCTTTATCTTTTTTTTTCAGTTTAGAATTCATTACTATAAGCTTTGACTTAGCTTCATTTAACTTAATATTATTTGCTTTAAAGAACTTCTTTGCAATTTCAAAATTTTTTAGCAGTTGGTCTTTGCTTTTTGTGATCCATGTAGTATCATCTGCATAAGCAATTGTTGCTTGTTTATATTTTGTAATACAATTAATGTCTGTGTTGCTTAATGTTTCTTGTTCTACTATATAGCTCAATAATTTGTCTTCTTGAATTCTTTTTAACAGTAGATTATAAAAAAGCCACCAGATTAGTAAAAAAATTATCTTTTCTTATTCTATATCATCATCTGCTATTATTTTTTTTGTTAGATTATAAGCTGTAATCACTTTAAGTTATCATTTATAAAAAAGATTAATAATATTTTTTATTGTTTTTTTGTGATATTTTGACTCTTTTAAGAGCCCATTCCAGGCTTTTTAATGGAACTAAATTGAATGTCTTTTTCATGTTTTGCAGAAGTATCTATTTTTTTTTTGTACTTCTTCTATTATCATTTTTTGTATATATATTAGTTGCTTTGTTAAGTTGCTAGACAAATCTGTGTAGTTTGGTTTTTTGAGTATTTCTTTCTCTGTAAATATTTTGGCCAACCTTTTTGTTATCACTTTTGTAACTAACTTTTTAAAAGTTTCAATTAGTGTTATTAGTCTAATATTGTTCAGATTATATCTCTAGTCTACATTTTTTGGGATTGGATAAACTTTTGCTATTTTTTACTTCTTTGGCATTTCTCCTGTTTCTAGAACCAGGTTTGCAAAAGCTCTAAAAATATTCTGTGATTTCTTTCTTACTTATTTTATTAAAATATAGCTTATATCTGAGATTCCTAGAGCTATGTTGGCTTTGAGTTTTTTTAACATATTTTTTTACTTTTTTTCTTCTATTTTTTCTTCTAACTTTTTATATCAGAATTTTTGAATCTATTTTTTTGGATTGTATACTTTTTTTCATTTCTCAGGCATTTCTTTTAGCTTGGTTTTCTATTTTTTGAATTGATTTCCAAAATGTTTTGTTAGACCATTTAAAACTGGCTTAGGTTCTGTTGTTAGACAAACTTCTTTTTCATCTTGAGTTATGAATCTGTCAAGAATTATCTTTTTGTATAGTCTGTTCAATAGGCTAGCAATTATTTATCTTTAATTAGTTTTTATCATCTCACATCTTCTGTTTATATTTTCTTCTATTTGCTTTCTTTGTACTCATTCTCATTTTTCTTTTCTTCTGTCTTTCAAAATTCTTTGCTAATCTTTTATATCATCTAATCAAGCTTTTGATCATTGTTTGTATAGCTTTGGTAATATTACTTTTATTTCTTTGTTAATGTTTTTAAGTCTATTGTTTATATCCTTTTTTTTTTTTTTGTCTTTTAATTTCTTCTTGTTTTTATTTTTTTTATTATTTGTTATTATAGTTCTATTGTATGCTTGCACTGCTGTAACTTCTTTTAATGATGTTTTCTGTTTTATTTGTATTAAATATCTTCTTTTTGATATTTGTTTATTTGCTGCTTCTATTATGGCTTTTCTATTATGTTTCATATGTGATTTAATACATCTGTACTGTATATACTGCTTATTCTATTCTTTTCTAATTGTTTTGGCACTTTTTCTATTCTAATTGTACTTGAAGCTCTTTAGCATATTCTTTCCAATCTTCTTGTTTTGCTTCCTCATATAGATATATTGTTCTTATTTGGTCTTTATATTTAATTTTTGCACAGCTGTGGTTCACAATTACATGCTTTATCTATATATTCATTATTAGTATCTTGTGGTTACTGTCTGTTATACTTTCTGCTTCCTCTATGTTGGCTTTTTGAAGGCTAGTTGTGAGTGTCTCTAACAATCAAATATAGTCAATTCTTGTTGCTGCTTCTTAACTTAACCATGTATATGCTCTTTCTGTTAGATGCAAGCTTTTAAAAAAGTCTGTGAACTCTTGTTTCTTAAGTTAATTAAAGATTAGTAGTCTTTTATATTTCATTATTTGTGGGTGCAGTCTGTCTAGTATGTTGTCAACTGTGTGATTAAAATCTTCAAATATAATTACTTCTGTATGCTTTCTTCTGTTTGTTACTATTTTTATGATTTTTTGCTATATTTTCTTATAGATTATTTTGTTATTTGGTGGAATATATATACTAATTACTATTAGTACTAATTGTTTAAAGTATAACTTTACTTCTATCATGTATTTACTAAATCTTTTAACTGCTCTAACATGTTTTTTTCAAGTTTTATTTATTAAAATTGTTTTTCATACTAATTAGTTTTAGCAGTATTATCGTAAATGATTATATAATAATAATAATTTCAAAAAACAAGTTGATATGGCATTATCTAAAATAGGTTTGTTAATGTATTGGTCCTTTAATCAAACTTATATTCTATATATAAATTGTTATCATTAAGCTTTTAATTCAACAAATATTTGAGTAGTCTTGCTGCATCATTAAGATTTGAATCATTTTTATTATAAAATTGTTGTATTGCATTATAAAGATCTTTTTTGTATAAAATATAATAAGGATATAAAGCCTTTAATAAATAATATTAGTTAGTTGCTTCTAAATAATCTTTCTGAATATAAAATTTAATGTCTTTAAGAAGTGTTTGAGTTAATCATTGATATTAAGGTGCAAATTGTTAATTTACTGGATCTAAAGTATGATTTTTATGATTACTATCAAATGAGAAAACTTTTAAGTTATGCCTGTTTTTTTAATATTGAATATAGATTTTTTAAGAACAATTAACTCGAGCAGAATTTTTATTTTTTTGCTTTTCTAAGGTTTTGTTTTTTATAAACTTATATACAGAGAAATGTTAGCACAAATATGTTTGTCTAACATATTTTTTATCCAATTTTTTAGAACAATGTTTTTAAATACTAAAACTATTATGATATGCAAAGGCTTTTATTAATCTATTAACAACAATCTATAAAGAAAATATCATTCCAGTATGTAATTGTAGAGATTCTATTAATAAAATATTTTTATCTAAATCCTAACTACCACTTTCAGCAATACTTTCATCATTATATTTAAAGTCAGATTGCATAGTTTCAATATTAGGTTCATAAAATTTATTATTCAAAAGTTTATTTAAAAAGTCTGTATTAGGTATAGTTTCATCATTATCATCAATAATATTTATAGTCTTATCTATAATGGAATAAAGATATATAAATAAATAAAAGCTACCTTTAAAAATAAAGAATTAGTTGTGATTTTTTACATATTAATAATTCTATAAACTCAATTTACTTACTGTATATTATATAAAAAATATATTTAACAGCTACTTTCAGTAAGATAACTTACAATTACTATATACTTTCAACTATTAATATATACTTATTATAAAGTATTTTACAATATGGGGTGTGATGACCTAGTGAAGTGGTCAGGTTGTCAACCCTCAAGTGGCAGGTCCAGAGTTCAAATCCCAGTGTTGATGGAAAATTTGAAAATCCTCTCTGTGTTACGATTAACTGTCTCTCGCAATTGGTTAGGATAAGATACCTGTAACCTGTGTCACACCAGCATGACTGGCAGGTCACATGG